ACATCAATAGTAGATTTGTGAGCAAAATCTTATACCTAATTCAACACATTTCCAATATTTATCTTGACGTTCTTGAACATATGATTGTTCACAAAGAAAAACAATCATTTTACTTTGTGCTATCCATCGTGTTATTTGATCTGTACGTAATTCTTGATTATCCATAAGAGCTATCAGCAGGACATAGTAGTATTTTTTTCCAAAATTCTTACTTTTTAAAAGAAGGCTTCGAGATCGAAGGCTCGGTTATGGTCTTGATAGATCTAATATGGTAACAGTTCCGGTCTAAAGAAAACTATTCTAGAATTTATTCGTATCACACCTAAAAATTCTTCAATACTTGTTCTTGTATTTAGTCCACAAATAGTATTTTTTGGGACATCTCTTTTGATTCCACACATCTTGAATATGCATTTTTATCTGCACAAAAATCAAAAACTGCACTATTGAGAACATTTTCAAATGTATTCCAGCCATTCAAATTTTGTGAAAGACTTTGGAATGTTTTAGAACGATTTAACGAGGAAATCTCAAAACATAGACTCACTACATTTTTTTCTTCGAAGAAAAAAATTATTCAAAATGATATTTACATTTTGTACACCATTACATTTAATCATAAGTATACGTTTAGAACATAATGAATGTCTTCGTTGAATAAGACGTGAACGTTGCAGACCACCATGATACATTGTTGAACATATTGAATCACCACGTATTTCACAATGTGAAGACATTCATCAATCCAACGTATTAATAAAACAGTTAAATGACGTGCTAATGCATGGACAACTTTTGATGATAAAGCACAAACGAATGGAATTATTGTATCATCAGTTATTAAATGTGTCGTTTTTTCATCGATTTCATCCGAATAATGAATATTAAAGCGTTGAAGAAATTGATCAAGACGATTCTGATTGAAACAGTAATAATAATTGTTTTTTTTTCTTTTTTCGATTCTTCTTACTATTTGTTCATCAATTAGGCGAGACGCAGTTATGAAAATTGATTTTTGAGCCAAAAAATATAATCATCAGCATGACTATCAATTGACCTAGCAGATGAACATGCTTGATTAGACTAAATATATATAAAAGAAAATACACAATTCATATTCTTCATCTATGATCTTACATCGGATGTTGCCGTTGACTCATCTATAGTCGTTGATGTATTAAGTAAAATTGATTGAACAGGTGGTACTAAGATTATAAGAAAAAAAGACAAACAAATTCGATTTTGTTATAACACGAAACACGTATCAAACTATTTTGGAGTTGAATCATATCGACGTCGTTTAAGAAGAACCCATTCATCTGACTTTCCACGTTTATTACTATTATTATTGACCAGAGCTGTAGAGGATATTTGCGATGATTGTTTGTTTACAGATGTTGATGCTAAATCATATAAGAATAATATGATATATATGACTAATTTATTGATTAGTAGAGCAAAGGGATAAGAAATACTCCTAAGAATATTTTCCGAACAGATATAAAATGGGCATCCTTTTATTTTAGGATGAAATTCACAGCAAAAATTAGAGATTGCATTTGAAAGGATATCATATCTATGGCTTTAAGATAGCAATTGGCGGTGCATAGAATGGTATTATAAGATATTAACGTTAAAGTCATATTCTGATGTACATGGTATTCACTATATGGTATTTATTAGTAGCACAGCATTGCTGACGAACTAATAAAAGTAACTTTTTTAATAAATAGAAAAAAGATTGACCTCCAGTTACATGAGCATAAGAGATTTAGAGACTCGTGTAGAGCTTTATGTATAAATCAAACCTGAATACTCTAAATAAAACTTTGAAAAAGAAGTAATACAAATAGCAGATTTCTTTCCTGTCACCTTATTTCCGTATCCACTGCCGATGCTGTGCTGATTATAGATATATAACAGTTTTCGAAAGGGTGTGGGTGTGGGTGTGGGTGTGGGTGTAGGTGAAGACACGATCAGCAGCCACACCCACACCCTCAAGCCATCGTAGTAACCGTGTACATATTTTTTATTTCTCTAAGTGGTGCTTCTTCAAACACTCGCTTGTATGGATGATAGAAATATAGACGAATGTGATCGTACGAACCGAAAACACATTCTTTACCTAATTATACGTGTTATAGATCATTGGATCGAGTCAGATCGGATGCTATGCTTACCGGTCGGATCACAAATACCGACACCAAATCCGTGTGCTGTCGGCTCATGACTATAATCAAATTGTTGCAAGATTCCACCATCTTTACTGTAAACCACTACGCGACGATCACATCCACCAACCACAATGCCGTGCGCACTCCATACTAGAGCACATGGTGGACATGAATGCCGTACGATTAGGCCAGACTTATCACCAGTACCTTCATCTTCGATTATAAATCGACAAATCGCTCCATCTGAATGACCAGATAAAATGGCTTTGCGTGAAACATTGGCGGTCAGAGCTACTGCATATTGTTCACCGGTGAAGAGCGTATGCGATTTATTCTTTTTCACATTACCCGAACGTATTTTTCCATCAGCTAAACCGAATATAAGTTGTTCATCCGGTAACCAGATCAGAGTAGTTACGCTTGATACTTGAACAAATTTAGCAATAATCGATTTTTTTGCGTTCCATTATAGGCCTAACTTGTACACGAACACAATATTGTCAGATTGAGCCACTGCCAGTGCGGTACTATCCGGTGAGAAAGCCATGTCCGTCACCACGTAGGATGAACGTTCGTACTTAAAATCGATCGGTTTTGTTGCGAATCGATCCCGAAGTTCACCCAGATCGTCGTATAGTTGAACAACACGATCAACACAAATACCTAATTTTTGACCATTCGGTGAGAAACAAATTGCTGAGACTTGGGCCTCGCCAAATACAGTTTTTGAAATTTGTTGCAGAAATTTCACTTGCATTTCCACTCTCTTGGAAGACAGACCTATATAGGAAGAACTTGCAAGCGCAGCTCCTGCTGTTGCTAAAATTTGGAACTCACTTACAGCTGCCCTTAGGATCACTCGAGGAATAGTACAGATACATAAACCTCTTTAGATAAAATAATAGGTGGAACCGACAGAATGTCGATGTTTTGTAAAACATGGTTGGTAATGAGTATTGAATTTTATAGCGCGAAAAGTTAACCACACCCCGTTTCACAGATCGTGACAAACATGTCGCAGTCTGTCACAATTGTTGGTGATTTCGAGGACTTTCACCATGTAGGCATGGTTTCGGACCGCTTCGAGAGTTTTCCACTTTTTAGTATTTCGTCTCCCGAAAACAGAACGATAGGCTTGGCTACGGTTCTGGGTCATGACTAGAGTGACTCTGTCATGTTTCTCATTGCATCTCGTAGAGATTACTTTGAGAGCTTTTTCTCATTATTACGTCCACAAGAATTCCCAGAATAGGTGATTTAGTGCACACTTCCATGCTCTTTCTAGTGGCGTATCAAAATGCTAAATTCAATCACATTGTAGCTAAAAAAATCGGGATGTGTGTGTAGCTGTAGTGTCGGTATCCACCAATGCCCCCAACAATCCAAAGTGGCTTTTTTTTATTTCAAAAAATGGCAACGATTATACTGTCACAAAGCAACCATTTTGAACTCATAAAGTGTAACATTTCTCATTCATGTTGGATCACAATAATTGAGTAAATAGATTATATGTAATATTCCAAATAGCTCATTTTTTCAACGATCCATCAGCTATCTTTTAGTATATTGCACGAAAAAAATCTGTCTAGTTGAAGCATAATCTTAACAAGCACTTATGGGACGATTTTCGGCTCTTTTTTGATAATAGGTTGATAGTGCTTAGAAATAAGTATCGACTAACTTTACTATAGTACATCCAAATGAGTTAAAAATTTAGGCTTGGTGGTTTTAGGCTATGTTCTTTCAGACGTACATAAAAAATCAAAAAATTATACTTTGACCAGGGCTTCCGTTCCTCGGACGCCTCAAAGGCGCTCTCTTAAAAATGAGTTACATTGTAATTTTTGCAAGCTATCAAGAGTTTTAATCCAATTGTGCTCAGCCCTCTAGTAAATTTATTCTTCCAAGTTCATTTATCGTCAGCTGTTTATAGCATATCATATCAGTGACCATAGACTAGACAAGGATTTCAAAAAAAACTGTGCTTCTGACCCCAAATCCCTTGCTTGTCCTTAGAATAACATTTTATCAATAAACCAAGACGATGTTCATACACAGCGCGTAAAACTGTGTCGAATGGTCTGCCGCAAAACACATTTTCTAACACAAGAACTTTTCGAAAAAATTGGTAAACGTCAACCGCAGGTGATTTTCACGGAAAACGTTTTTTTCTAAAAGAATAGCTTATTTTCTTACAGATGATTTTCTGAGTAGTATATAACCTTTTTCGAAATAATAAGAGCCTGTTTCAGAGCACGAAGCTTAGATGTTCGCCTGCTATACAAAAGTTGCCCACTGTCGTGGGGGCGGAGAGGGAGGGGCTCCGCTCTGCGCTATTTCATGTAATCAGATTAAAACGAGCCCAGAAATTACCACTTTTGGTCACAGTTGCGAAGGTAGGATTCCACAATGACCGAAAAACTGTTGAGTGGCTTCTGAAGAGCCACTGATCGCTCATTTTGTCTTCTCCTGAATATAGTTGAACAGTTCTCAGATCCTTTGCTGATGAGAATAATTGCGTCAGCTGATACATATGCCAAGCAGATAAAAATTTGAAAAAATGCGTTTAAACACTCAATATGAAACCGCGATTGTGATCCATTCACCCTGATTATAAAAATGAAAGAAACTCGTTTTTTTGCGCAAATTTTTCACTTTCAGAGCGTGAAAACAGCGAAAAACTGCAGTTTGTAGTGTTAAAGCATGCTTTTATAATAGAAATAAAAAATAATGCGTTTTAACGCTGTTTTTTTTAAATTTTTCGCTGTTGTTACGTTCTGAGAATAAAAACTTTGTGCTAATAAATGCATTTCTTGTGTTTTTCTAATCAGCGTTAATGGAACATAATTGCGGTTCCATTTGAGCGTTTAAACACGTTGTCCCAACTTTTGTCTGCTTGAAGTAGAAATTCATTGAGAAATAAATACTGAAACACTCAGGAAAAAGTCGCAAGTAACCAATTAACAATCGTCATAAATGCTAGTGAAAGAAGTTCCCTGATCCTTGTTCGGCCATCGTCATTCTCTTCATTTTGCAGACCTGAATCATTGATATTGGGCAATTCTTCATGTATCGTGGGTCTATGAATTAAAATCACAAGAGATGATTTTCATTACAGAAGCTCTTCCTACGATTGCCAAGTGAAATGTGTTTTCTTCAGTGCATTGTCAGCAAGTCGATCGAGAATGAAGATAATGCAATCACCTTAAGTTAATCGGAGCTTGTTGGCATCAAAATTTATTTGGTTATCCTACAAAATCGGACCGTTTTACATCGTCTTTTAAAAAAGATTTCAAAATGATTCGGTAACATCGATCTCATAGCCAAGGGGAGAACGGCGTACTTTGTACTTGACGTTAATTTGCGCTACTTCGCAGCACTTCGAGCTACTTTAAAGTACTTTGCTCTAATATTAAAGTACTTTATCCTACTGTAGATTATTTTACTGTACTTGAAGTCCGACGTTTTCCCCTTGCTCATAGCTCTGAATCATATGTGTCAGGACGAATGGCTCATTTGAAGGGCGAAAGGGTCCTACCATTTTCTTGCATTGGTCGATGATACATTGGAGAAGTTTACTTTGATCGTCATCCTATACGGTCAGATTACGAAAGATTTGGAGAAAATATAGCATTTATAGAACCTCATGTAGCTTAACAAATGGCACACCGCTCTTTTGAAAGAGCCATTCGGTGAGAGCAATGAATGTGTGATTGTGATCACGTGGTTTGGAATCAACGGCGAAGTGAATATGCGAGATCGGTTTCATTCGCTGTCGCATCACGTATTCCTCGTCGTAGTTGAGCATTTGTAATTTGCTGTGCAGATGAGCCATTGTAACAAAGATTGGAAAAGCGGTACCCGGACTGACGTCCGGCACTTCAGTTTCTTCTACAATTACAAAATGAACATTCGGTTTGCTATTGAGTTGCACTAATTATATTCACAAAAAATGACCTCCTTCATTCAGTCCATGACGACTTGATCTTTCATAATACTCCGAGATCTACAAGTTAGCTGTTCCACTCTCTCAAACTACTACCGGGGGAGGATGGCATAGGTAGTGATCTCGTGAGTACACTTACGAGGGAATGCTCCAAGGTGCCTTAACGTTTTTCATCTCGGACTATCTCTAGATTGTAGAGCATGTCGAGTAGA